TTAGTGTGTGTTTTGTATTAGAATTAGAAAAATTAGAAAGTTATTCATTTTGTTCTGTTACTTGAAAATTATTATGTCTGAAATAATTGTTTGAAAAAAGGGGCAGATACAATAAGATTTTTTCTTCTTTCTGCTGCCTTTCATTTTAAATTTTTTTTGTATCTTTTTATAGTTATGGAATTGTTTTGTACTTTTTTTAAATGAATAAACTTCATACCATACCATACCATACCATACCATACCATAGGTTAGAGGAAGTTAGAAAGTACAGCTAAAGAAAGACAGTCCATTCTAATATCTATAGTTTGTGACCCAATCCCAAACTCCAATCTAAAGCCCAATCAATCAGTGGAAACAGACTTATATGACATCATAATGTAGAGTGACAACATGAAACTGGACCTATTTTTTAGTCATTTTTGTAAACTAGCTTTCTCATCTTTAATATAAAGCGTTAATTTTGATAATTTACCTCCATACTGTGATGCAATGCATAAGGTAAGATAAGATAAGAAATAAAAATAATACTGTGTTATGTATTGTCACCATTGTATGTTCCCATACAATGTTGTAAATGTAAATTACAACAAAATTGGCTCTCTGCATTTAACCCATCCACCACCAGGTGGAGCAATGGGCAGCTATGGAGGGCACCCGGGGAGCAACAGGGGGTAGGGTGTCCTGCTCAGAGACACCATGAGATGTGCAATGACTGGGGATCTAACCCAGGACTTTTGGGTCCCGAGTCAGCTGCCCTGCCCCTACACCATCTCGCCCCCACCTAAGATAAGATAAGATAAGATAAGATAAGATAAGATAAGATAAGATAGAACTTTATTGATCCCGCAGGAAATTGTTGTGCCAGAGTTTCAATACAAAGGAATATACCCAATCACACAAGATATAAAACTAACAGATCCTATTAATCGTATGAGTAAAACATTTTAACGTGCAGTTTCAGAACGGAAGAGCGATCAAAAAGAGACACACTTGATTGTAATGTTCCTTATTTGTCCTCTGATCATTTAGGCTTCTGCTGAAAACCAAAACAAATGAATCTAAAAAAAACTGGAAGTTTATATGTACACATTGAGAAAACTGTTGATTGTTTAATATATCAATATGTTTCACATCTAAATATGATCCGAAGTAATACTTTGTACATTAGGAGTTTGTGCATGTGGAAAAGTTACAAATATTACCAGTTGTAGAACGGTTTTTGAATTGCTACAAATCAGAGAAACATCACTTAATGCGGACCTGTCCATTTGATTAGTGCATTTATTTTATTATTCTGTTCATAGTTTATCATGCTTCTCCCTCATGAACGGAGTTGTCCTGTGGTTGATGTAGATCTGTTTGCTTGGTTTTGCTCTGTGACCATTGTCTCTTCAGCGCCTGTTTCTCTCTACACCTGCTACTCATCTTCATTTCTATATTTCATGATTTTGTCTTACTGCTCTTCCCTTGACGCTACAAGTACCTGTTGGTTCTGCCAGGCCACCTCTGTAAATAAGATTGTGTTCTTAGTGTTTATGCCTGGATAAATAAAGGTGAAATCTGCTCTGTTAGTGCACCTGCTCCTCATTCCATTAATCACTCCTCCCTGGTTAAATAATCTGTTTCTCATCTGATCTGTCAGTTCACACTTTTGCTATTTTGTAATAAATTGTTTCTTGCTACGTTGTAATCATGATATTTTTTTAAAATGTATTTTGTTTGTTTATGCCACTGATCTCCTCAAACTTTGGATCCATGATGCTCACCAAACATGACACCAACCAAATGAATTGGAGCATGGCGGCTAGCCCAAGCGAGGCCAAGATGATAGTGGATTGTTGCCATTTTAAAACAGCTTTGATCTTCACAATTTTCCATAATTTCATTAAAAAACCTACTTTCTGAATCAAGCATTGCCATTACTTTTGCAGGTGCATGGTTATCCCACTGAACTTTAGAGTTATTTGCAAGTGCAAAGATCAGCAGCAGCTAGCTGTAGCACTTCTGGTGCAGCCTGGACCACTTCAGGAAAGATCAAACATGCAATGAAAACAAACATTTGTGTAAAATGTTTAAAATAATGATTGTGTTAATCACTATGAACACTGAGACTGGAGTTGTTTTAACATGCCAGCAATCCACTTTGATCTTGTTTGTTTTTTTATTAGTCATTAGCTCATCAACATAAAATTAGTTTTCCAAATTCATGTTGTTCAGCTGATCTACATGTTTAAAAATGAATTGTGCAGGTGCAGCACATCTAGAACATGCCCAAAAATGACAAACAAAACATTTGTACATGCACATGCACCGTGTGCTAGTTTGAAAAATACTATGCTGTACAACCACTACCATACAAAATGTTTTCTCCAAGAATGCTGGAAGTTTAAGAGCAGAACGTTGCATACAGAATGTGAACATTAAATAAAAAATTCTACAAAAACTTCACATACTTGACTCTGTACCACTCCAACTCAAAAGAGACCAATTACGAAGCTTACACACTGCATTATTAATCAAAACCACTACTCTATACCATCCTTTAGTATCTAATCACACACTGCACGCTGGAAGTCCACAAACATAATGTGCTGCCTGTATGCCTTTCTGTCACATATGTATAACTAATAAAGTAATGGAATATAAATGTGTTCCTGCAATTTGCATTTGCTTTTTAACATGAGATTAGAACATCTGCATATGTAACAAAATAAATCCAAGAAAAATAAATACAAATGCTTGTAACTGGACTGTTAAATGCCAAATAATAATACAGTAATCATAAAGGCCTGGCAATACTTGAAGGAATGCTGGAGTTTTAAACTGAGACTAGAAGAAGTTCCTATAAATTTGGTCAAATCTTGTAAATTACATTATGAACGATTTAATGTAATATGATGAAACACTTTCAGAGAATTGTTTTGAGAATGACTCAGTTTCTACCATATCAAATGCATTTCAATATTTGTGAATTTACCTAATTTGAATTATTGTCCTTGCTGCGTTGGCTAAGGTTGATTCATATCTGAATTGTTAAGAGTTTTTTGATGGGCAACCAACATTTCCTGTTTGAAGCCTCACCAAAATCTATTCAGTGGTTCAGCTGATATTTTGCTAACATGCACTCTAAGGTCTGTTAAATTGCTAAGCTGTGGTGGCCATTTTGAATGGAGATGACTCTAAAAGATGTATCACTTGTAGATGTACGTCCAGTCATTACTTTCCGTTTCAATAAAATGTGTTCACTGTTTTGTGAGATCCAACAAAGTTGTCAGGTTCTCTGGATGATTTATTTTTGTTGTTGCTGCTGAGACGTTTCATCCTTCATCCAAAGGACTTCATCAGTCCGAGGAGACACAATAAACTCAGTCACACAAGCAGCACACTCACATAGTGGACCAACCAGTTTTATAGTGGCAAGATGGTTTTTGGAGTCTGTCCTCTCCCCCCGTCGACTTCTCTGAGGCAGCCACAGCCAAAACATCAAAGTTCATGCTCAATAATCCAGGTAGAAAATCCAACAAAGTTCAGTCAGGTCATCGGGACTGTTTCTTTCTCTTTTATTTTTTATTTTGTTGACGTTTTGTCCTTCTTCCAAAGGACTTCATCAGTCTGAGGTGCCACAACAAACTCAGTCTCAAAAGCAGCACACTCACATAGTGGACCAACCAGTTTGCTGGTGATACGATGGTTTCTGGGGCCCACCCTCTCCCCAGTAAACTCCTTTGAGGCAGCCACAGCCAAAGTGGTTCAGCACGTCAAAGTTTACACTCAGAGGGGAGAGGACGGTCCCCAGAAACCATCTTATCACCACCAAACTGGTTGGTCCACTATG